AGAATACACAAAAAAAATAGGATTTAGGTCATTAGAAGTCGGATCATCACATGGATGGATAATAAAATAAAGTCTTTGGCTCAATAAAAGAACAACACGTGTATCGGACGCGTCGAGCTCAACAGTTAAATCAGATGTCTGCACTTTTAGTTTTCTGGTTTTTATGATTCCATTGTCTCAGGAGCTKCTTGTTGATTTGTTTTGTTTCAGGAAACGTATCGGGGAGGGCTTCGAGGAGGCGCCCGGCTCAGGAAGTGGAGCTCAGAGGTTTCAGCACGTTTTACACTTGGCCTCATCCAGCGGAGAATTCGAAAAGGTGTCTCAGGTAACAAACCAAACTGCTTTCTGTTTAATCTCTGCACAGAAACAACTTTTCACCCACAGTTTGATGGCATCAATGAGTGAAAACTGTTCTGTGCTGCCTGTTCTCCCTCAGGGGCTGTATGATAATTATTTGTCCATGCGAGTGAGGGATCCCCACCTGCACGGCGTGTGTGAGGCTCTGGATTGGCTCACGTTCTCCGACAGGCTGAACCAAGTGATTCTGCACGGACAGAACTTCTCTCTGATGAGATACCTGCCCTTCCTGTCTGTCGCCTTTCACTTCCTGTTTGCTCACACGAGCGTGCCACGCATCAGCTATCCCCACAGCCACCATGAGGTACTAATACGGTCACAGGAAGTGATTTGTGGCACACACAAAAAAAGGCAGAAAATGTTAAAGCAGGTGGAAATTTTGGTGTATTTGAACTAAGATTTTGCCACTAAYTGACTCGTGGTCGTCCTCGCCAGGCTTCGTCCCGCCTCCTCAGCTGCAGGAACGCTTTGTCCACCATGTTGGCTGAAATCCCAGCGAGCGTGCGCGTGAGGATCAGCCACCTCAGCCTGAGCCTCGATATTCTCACTTTGCTCCTCGACATCATCTGTCCCAAACTACGACCCGTACGTTTATTCCTGTAATCCCGTGTCAGTTTTTGGCTCTTTAAAAACCCAGGTTCCAGGCGTGCAGAGCTCAGGTTTTGTGTTTTTTTGTTTTGTTTCCTGCAGGTGAATCCGCAGCTGTTCAGCAGCAGAGAGAAGGAACAGATGCACGAGCTGATCGACACCATGCTGGCCTACAATCTCTCGTACAGGCAGGACCGCACACCTGAGGGGCAGTACACATACGTGCTGGAGCCGTGAGTACACACAGACACACACACACACACACACACCTGCACTCCACTGTTTAGTGGAAACCTGCTGAGCAGATGTGTGTTTGCAGGGTGTTGAAGGTCACTGCTGTCCTCCTCACACTGCTTCTCTGCACAAAAGCTTAGAGTTTAATCCCCTTAACACCTGGTGTGTGTGTGTGTGTCTGTGTGTGTGTGTGTGGGGTCAAATCAAGGTAGCAAACAAAATCCTGACTGGTGGACAGACAGAGAAAATTAAGTTGAAGTGCTCCAGCTTAGAGGTAAAAAGTGTTTTAAAGCAGTGCTGTTAGGAAATATGCCCAATAAGATCAACCTTGGAAGCTGTGTTCACCTCTGGAAACTTTAATCCACTTWTTAGTCTCATTTACGAGACTAAAAAAATACCACAGGAGTTTTTTTTAAATTTATTTTTTAATTTACCACAATGGGGCAACTGAATTCATCCATGCCAGACGAGGCCGAGGAGCAGCTAGTCCACGGTGGCTCCTTCCTGCAGGCTCGCTGCGATGAGGTGCTGGTGACCAGCGACTGGTGCCTGCCACTGGTGTTAGCTCTGCTGCTGCTGCTGCTGGTCTACACCTTCCTGTACCTGCCGTCGCTGGCACACCACAACACCACGGTCTGACTGGTCCYGACACTGCGCACGGCCCGTACGACTCGTCCCAGCAGGGATATTTGACTGGACTGCACTGTTCTTGGATGGGATTGGTCGGATTCTGGCACCATTACGAGGAGCCTGATCTGATGCCTGCTGAACTTCATCACTCTCTGCAGATCAGTTAGTAATTAGYAATAACTGGCATGTATCTCAAGGTAGACCAGGGCTAAATATAAGTAAAGTAAAAAAAAAAGGTTACTTTACTGTGTTTTAGGCTACACTCTGCATAGTTTCAGATGCGTTATTATTGGAGAGAAGCTGTGGCCTTCCAGGGTTTAAGCTCTTTATTAGTTTTTCATTTCAGTTGACAAGCAGGTCTTTATTTCATCATTATGGTTGCAAAAGGCTGGAAAGTTACTAAACTAAACTAACACGTCTGTTCCCACCTGTCCAGGTCATATTTTAAGGTGTGGTACCTCTGTTTTTGTCAAGATTACTCTAAAATATAATTCCTTCAACTGTATTTAAAATCGCTGTTAGGAACCAACCTCCAGTTCTTTCTCTTAACCTCCTGTGAATTGAAAAGTTTCTAACTTTGAAAATTCCCAGAATTTTGTGACTTTRTTCATCATAAAATATAATTTTTGTATTCCGTTTGTTGTTCCGTCTCGCTCAGTGTGTGTGTGTGTGTGGGAGCTCATAAGGAGATTAAGGTTTTAAAGAATAACAGATTAATGGTTTTCTTAAAAAAATAAGAAATAACGGAAGCCGTTTTTTGRTGATAATGACATATTAGGCCCGTTGTCTCAAGATAACGAGTTAATTTCCCTATGGTTTTCTCTAGATAACGAGTTATGATTTTTCTGTGCATCATTCAGTAACCATGGAGGTGTCCATATATCCCTTCAGCTGGTCACTGAAAAAGTTTATTTTATCATCAAGATCCCTGTGTGATCTGCAGTCAAGCCAGCCTTSTCCTTGATTCACATGAGTCAAACTCATGGCCCCTTTTTTTTTACTTAACATGAAAATTATTTCTTATATCAATGATAAACTTTAAATTTAYGATGAAATGCAACATAATAAATTTAATAGGTGAAAGATGATAACAATTGTTCTGCCCCTGAGCTGTTTGCTTTAAGTAAMTGAGCAATTTAGTTGGATAGCACAGTATTAATGTYTGAAAATAAGCTGCTTTAAAGTCAGCATCAACCATAAATTAATCTGCCATAATGCAGCTACTCACTAGAAACTCATCTGTGAGTAAAACTTCATTAGTTTTACTTTTAGTAATATTTCTGTATTTGTATCAGATCTAGTCAGTCGTACACTTAGTTCTTATCAGTGTTTAAAAGAGGACATGTTAAAACACTTTTTTAGTCAAAGTTAAACATGAAATGTCAAAGTTCATTACAACTGGCCCTTCGAGGGCCACCATAACGCTCATCATGTGGCCCTCGGTGAAAATGAGTTTGACACCCCTGCCTTGATGAGGGCTGATTTGAAAGTTATCTGTACAAGACAAACAAATTGCAATTTCAGTCTGTGTAATGATACAAAAATGACAAAATAATGTCCACTAGGCTGCCTTCAGGCCCAGGCCGCCCTTGCTAAAGAGATCTGCGATCTCAATGGGTTTCGCCTGGTGTAGTAAGGGCAAATAAATAAATAGTAAACGTCAAAACCATCTGGAAATTAACTCGTTATCTCGAGAAAATGGTCCTTGTTATTTTAAGAAACGATAAAATCACGAAAAAACCAAGGAGAATAATTATGTGCAGTAAAAGGCCGCTCTCAGCTTCCTTACACTGATTGCTCARGAAGTGAGCAGAAAAAAATCATCTTTAACTTCAGCTAAGTGGCGAATTAGTGCCGACAATAGTTGTATTTAAGGTTTTTTTTTTGAGTGAGGAATAATTTTGTAAAGTCTGCATGTCTTTTTTTTATGAATAAAGCAGAAGAAAGCTGTAAAAAACATGGGTTTAAGATTTAAACTGTCAAACGTATTGAGCTGTAATTTATGATGCTAACATATTAATAATGAAACTTTAAATAATATTTTGAACAACTAAGGAGATGTCCTGTTAGCATCATTGTCCTCCTTACAAGTTGCTGCAATATTTTTTTTTATAATTTAGATAGGTTATTTTGTGCACATTTTTAGATTTTAGATTTTTTAGCGTTTTTGTTTCTGGTGTGTGCAGGCGTGTCGAGGAGGTGGCGTGGTTCCCCGGCCTGCCGCCGCGCCGCCAGCTGACCTATCAGGCCAAACAAACCATCAGCAGAGAGATGGAGCAGGAGAAGATGAGGAGAGCCGAGCAAACGATGCTGCAGAGGAACCCCGCGGTGGTGAGATGTCAGATCCTGTTGATTCAAACGGGCGGCGGGGCGACCGAACGTCGCCGCTCCTTCAGGCGTGTTCGTGGTCGTGACCTGCTGTGCGACTGTGTTGCAGAGAGAAGAAGGAAAGAAGAGCGCTGGACCAAAACCGAGCAGGAACCACCAGCAGAGGCTGGAGAGTATTGTGAAACAGACCACAGTGCAGACCAGGGTGAGACACACAAATATCCTCTTGTCTTTTATTTCTCACCCAGCCTGTTCATTTTATTTTAGGGAAATGTGTGGTTTGTTATGGTTGACGGCTGCAACTTCCTCCAGATAAAAACAAACTGGGTTCTGGGATGTGTTCTTCAAACAGGATTACAATGTTTAGTGATACCAAACATTTAAACTGAGCTTATAATTTGTTTGTGCAGAGCATGTTAGTTGAAGGATTAAAGCTGGTAATTTCATGTTTGTTTGTTTTTTTTGCCAAAGTGAATATCAGTGTGTTGTAGTATAGAAACTAATTATTTTAACACAAGTTAAATGATTGTGGAGGCTGCAGGCCAAGAATGGAAAWGAAAAAATATTGACTGTTGATAGAAAGTTGTTGTATTTTTTACCCAAACTATCATATGCGCTAAATATGGGTGTCCAGATACCAGTTTCTCTCAAACCAAGTACAAGTACTGTATTTATACATGTATAATACTAGAAATTTAACCCTAAAAAATCATCCATAAAGTGGAGGGATAGTATTATACACAGGTTATTGATAATTAGATTTTGAATGCTTTTTAAGCTCAAAAAAGGATGATCGTATCATACATGAATAAAAACAGTACTTGATTCTGGGGAGGATTCTCAGTCATTCAGGCCTTGATCGATTCAAAAAAAGTTAAACAATAAAAAAAAACAACAAATGAACTTTGATTCTAAAGACGTTTCGCTTCAAGTCCAGGAAGCTTTTTCAGTTCAACTCTGGACATTCTGAACTGAAAAAGCTTCCTGGATGGGGAAACAAAGCGAATTCGTCTTCAGAATGGAAAATCAGTTGTTGTTTTTTTTACTTTTTTGTGAAAAAAAAAAACAATTACGGTACTCGCCGATTCCGAGTACTCACCGAGTTAGAACTTAAACATTACACAGTAACTTTAAAAACACATTTAGWCAAACATACAGCATGAGACATACTCAGATGTACCGTTGTAACATTTTAAAYAAGATTTACTTTCAAYTTGTATACATTTTTTAAACACAGAACTGACAAACTTTTCACTGTATATTGGAGTGCATTTCATGGGTTCAGTTCCAAATAGTGGGCGTTTATTTTTATTTATTTTTTTACTAACACGAGCACTTGTAAAAACTGGTGGTATCGGCACACAGGTAGTGCCATGTGAGGGTGCTGTTTTTCCCCCAGCAGAGGGGTGGTGCACTTTAGTCGACCAACAGGGTGGAGGGGAGGTGGGAGTTTTCCTAGCATCATGCAGGCTGCTCTCTTTACAGCGTGTTGCTGAGCACYAAGACCTGGGATCATCAGGTGTTTTAGTTGAAACCAGAACAAGCTGCATGCAGAACTCAAAATCAGAACCTCTCTGAGAAACCTGGAGTGGTTTTAATAGTTCAGCAGTGACGTGATGTGGGCTCAAGGGGGACAGAAATCAGGACAATGAGGAACTGTCCCTGATGGTGAAACTTTGAAATGAGGCTAATAAAAGAAGTGGTGTGTGTGTGTGTTTCACTGATTAATTGGCCTCGTTAAAGTTGACGTGTGTTAATAACTTCACGGCTGACTTAGTTAAATAATCTGTGTTTCTGTGTCCTGCAGCCTGAGGTGGACTTCTTCGGTCGAGCKGTTGCCCCCAAACCTCAGCGAGCTCAGCCGTCCTCGGACACAGGTACTATAGACTCTCTGCAAAGAGGGGGCGCCGCTTTTAACTTAATTTATTCAGACCCTCGGGAGCTGTTCATGTAAAAACGCCTCTCAGCACATCAGGTCCACGCGGACCGGAGGTGATGAAGGACAACTATTATATAATGCTTCTAATTCAGTGCTCTTCTGGCTGCACATGGTTGACTTTGCCCAGCGAGATGGAAAGTCTGGTTTCTAAAAGCTCCAGGGGTCGGATTTATAAAACTGGCGTACGCACAATTTGAGCCCAGAAACTTGCGTACGCCACTTTTTATGACAAGGTTGTGAT